GAAGGTGGCATATTTGCTAACAGATGAGAACAGGAGTTCTCAACCTTGTTATGGACCATGGGGTAGTAGTTTGCCAAAGTTCGAGACTCCTCTCCTGCCCCCTCCCACACACACATCTAGTAGAATGAGCAAAAATGGGAAATCAGACTGTCTTGAATTCTACTCCTACCTTTGGCTCTGTTTGTCTTGTGAAACCTCACCAGTGCTGCATCATTTTGCCTCAGGACATTCCTATGAAGCAAACTAAATGTCACTGCCCCATTGAACAGAGAAAATTAACACTTGGAAAAATTACATGACAAAGTTTAAACAGAAAGCCTGTTTCAAGACCAGAATTGAAGTCATTCTACTAGACATGAACCTCAGGCATAACTTGCCTTTACAATGCTGACCCTCAGTTTTTAAATAATGTTACATTTATCACAGATAAAATCAAGAAATATATAACATTTAGTATGTCTACAGAACTGAGCCTCACCTAAAGTACTTTAGGTAAATCATTTTAAGTCAGGTAAGTGACATCACCCTCGACACTGAGCAGCAGCTGGTACCATTAAATATCACTGGACTTCACTATTTTCCATTGGAGATGTCCTGAAAAAGCAGATTTTTGTATTGTGAAGAGTGCTATCCTGTGTAAAGTTGTTTAGTCTTCAGTAGTGCCTTTTATCTTGGGTTCCTTCACTAAAGGTAATGTTCAAGTGCTGTTGTAGCCATTCGTTAAGGTGAAATATAGCACTGTGCAGAGGACCAAAGGAAGCTCTTTGTCCACATGCAAAAACAATAATGTAAGTCCCAGAGTGGGCCTTAACCGATGTCTAGATCTTTTGTTTACGTTGACTAATGACCTGAAGTGAGCTTATACCTATATAGAAAGCCACATTTTCCTTCCCTTCCATATGTATAAGTAAAAGTGGGGAACTGCCTGAAATGTTCAGAACCAAATGTTTTGGACCACCATTTTTTTCCCAAAGCTTTTTCAAAAGTTGAAAATAACTGTCAAAGATATTCTTTCTTTCTCTCTCTTTCTTAATAGTAAGAGCCCCTTTTTTGAGTATTTTCATATCCATTAGTTATCCCCAAAGTAACATGTTTGACAAGGTAACTTGTACACTGTGTTTGCTAAAAATAAATTCTTAACCCCCTTTTCTCCCCATATATAAATGCAAACTGACTTATGCAGCCACTGTGAATGTGCTCTTTCTCTCACAATATGTACAGCTTAAATCAGATATACAGAAGTATTTAGATGCCCAATGATATTTTAAAAACTAAGGTAAGCACTAATTCCCATTGGCCTTCACTGGAGTGATCAAGGCCCCTGCCAAATGTTAAAATAATGTCCCGATGCAATCTGATCCTTGATACTATATATGAATGGCAGGATACACAATTGTTGGAGTCAAGGACTCTTGTCTTTATTTTAACAAGAACTGTGTAGCCCAATTGCGGTTAGCAAGCTTCCTGCCCAGAGGAGCATAACTCTCCTCCATACGCATTAGCCCAGCTGAGCACAGGCATGTCTGGCTGGTTGAATGTCTGGCCCTGGAGCTCCCTCGGGAGCTGTGGAGGAAGGCACACTCCGATGCCAGACTGGAGGAAGTCTCATGGCTCATTGCAACCTAACAGGGTGTATGCTTTGCCCTGCAGTTCCCTCAGGAGCACTGGGGCAAAGCAAGCAGTACTCCGTCAGGGGACCCAGGGCTTACCAAACCTGGTACCCTGGCTCAGTTAATTGGCTTCCTGCTCCAAGCACAGGGAAAATCACTGCAGGGCTTCATTGCTGATGGGCTCCTGGCTCTATGCCAGGAAGTGCAGTCCCATGCAGGGCTGCACCACGTAGCTGTCAACCAAACCCTGCCATGCAGCCAATATTGAGTCACCTGGAGGGGTTACTCCACCACAAGTTCAATTTAAGGCATGATGGAAACTGATCACCAAAATGTTTCAACTGTTTCACTGAACAATTTTGTAGCTAGTTTCTCATTTTGTTATACCATTAATTCCCTGAATGTGTGGCAGGGTTACTATTTATGGTGCAATTAACAGGTTACTCATATTCTAAGTGCAATTTCTTGTGGGGGTTGTACTCACTTAGGCACTTTTGTAAATCCCATTGGCACTTAATACTTTTGTATATCTGGCTTTTGGCTTTAGATCCACAAAGCTACTTGTTTCTGATGGAAGTTAAATCCATAAATACTTTCAAGTTCTGGGCCCTGGTGCCTAATAAAGAAGTTACCTGAATACAGGTTCTAGAGCTGTTGTCACTGAATCACATAAAAAAAACCCTACAGTAATTAGCAGTTAAGACTTTTGGATTGCGATGCGAGGGCTTTTTGAAGGAGTTTCTATGATTGTCAAGGGAAATTGGACCAATCAATATATGATATTAGTTAGCCCATACAAATACCTTTTAGTAAGGATGAACAATAGTAAAATGGGATAAATAATCTCCATTCTTTGGTTAGAGGAGTTACTGGGCATCTGTTTAAAAACAAAAAAACTCCACAAGATTTGCATTTCTACTTCCATACTCCCAAAGCTTAACATTTGCCTGTATAAATCTTAAGATAATAAATTTACTCAGTCAGAGAGCCCCAAATGTCATTTTTGTCACTCCTTTTGAGGTTCCCAGGCTCCCAAACATTCCTCTAGAGATGCTTTGTCCCTGGCTCTTCCTGATCTTTATTCTTGTTTATATCCAAAATACATATTAAATCATCTCTGTTTGGAGAGTATGAGCCCTCTTTAAAAACATGAAACATTCAATTACTAATTAGCTGTTTCCTGTTGCTAATGAAGTGAGCATGTCGAATTTGGATTAAAATTCAGCTACTGCTCTCTTCTGTTTATGGTTCCAGATGTTTTTGTTTTATCTAGGAGGTTACTTTGACAGCTACTCCTAAATGATAAATCACTCATATTATAGCTGAAATGCATTTTGAAATTGAAATGTGGCAAACTTTGAGATTGCTCCAAGGATCAGTGTCAGTTAGTAGGTCAATACTGGTTCTTTCCTTATGAGTATTCAGTATTGGCATATGTAAAACAGTAATGGGATAGATGTCAACATTATACAAAATGCTGCTTAAGATTATCATTTTGCTACCATCTTCAAAATCAGTACTAGTGGGTTTAACTGTATGAAATCTTAATTCATTGTAGAGTGAACAGAAATATGGATTCATATTAGCTTTGGCTTTTTATGAACATCCTAAAAGGTTTTTTTTTCCTTTGGCTTAAAGTTGATTATATGAAAGGACTTCACATTTGTATCTGATTATATTTTTATTAAATATATAAGTAATCTCCTATTTGTCTCCTTAAATTAAAAAAAAAAATTAAAAGAGGAGTTTTTTTCAGGTTAAAAGAGCATTTTTTCTAAAGAGTAGAGATACTGATTAACTATTGTTACCATGTTGATTTAAAAATGTTTATTTAAAAACCCCACAAAAAATTAAATGTATTGTTCTGCAAGTGGTTTCAGGTATGTTATAACTATATTTTGCACAAGTCAGCTGCACTTATTTCTATATTACTCTGAATACTCCATGCAGTACATCATGACCTATGTTCTGAAACAAAATGTTTTTAAATAGGTCATGGAGAGAAGAATTAATGGGAAACTAGATCTTTAAAAAATTATTCAGAAGGAGAATGTAGCTCTTCTATTCTTTCTGAACTGCAGCACTATGCATATTTGAGTCTCACTACAAGCACCTCCAGGTGCTAGTGTGGCAGATTTCAGTGGAGTTATAAAACCATAAAACTAGTGTAATGCTGAGATGAAAATCTAGACCACAGTTTAAGACGCTAAGAAGGGGTTAGTCATACAGGAATTGGAGGGGAGAAGAGGACTATTGTTTTGTTCTTTTTTAAATATGCAGAACCAATGCTTTCCCTGACAAACACTCCTTGCAATGTACTACAGCTCTATGGAATATAACTCAATGCAAGATTTTGCCTATAGGTTGAACATCTAAGTTTAGGGTTAAAAATACTGTCCGTTTAGTTTAATAGTTGACCTTGAATGCTAAAAATTAGAGATGATTAATCTAGTTTGGGGGGATTTATTATATGGTTCTCAGATGCCGATAGCCACCCCAAAAACAAGTCAGGAGGGAGAATGACCCTTGAACCAGGGAGGTGGTTGAACAGAAAAGTTCAAAAATATGAGGCAGCTAATAAGGTTCTCTAGATTGCAGTATATGGAGCTGAGCAGTGAGTGTACATATGTAAAGGGGTATTGTTGGATCATGGATGAAGTTGTAGAAGATAAATTCTACAACTGAAGAAAAGGCTGGAAAGGTTAACAGAAGTCAAACTCACTACCAGATGAGTCAAGGTGATACACAGCAGTAATCATTTTAGATATTTAATGTTGCATTTGTTTATTCATAATTATATTCCTGAGATCCTTTTAGCATGAAAGATTGTTAAGACACTAAACTAATTTCTGACATAAATGAGATTTTAATTTTCTAGTTCCTTACAAGTATCTGATTGCCTCTTTTTCAGAGATAAGACACTCACTTGCCCTGTGGTATATCCGTATGTCTGTATTGCCTCCATTGTGATCCCAAGACCACCACTTGGAACCAAGCTCCACCCACACCCTCCCACTCCATGTGCAACACATACCAAAAAAGGTTTTGCCGTCACCATTAGAGCAGTGCTAGTTGTGCCCTGCATCAAGCTTAGAGGCACACCTGGGACAGAAAGCCGAAGAGGGGCCCTGGGCATGTGCCAAAAATGTCATTACACTACATTTTTCAGCATGCAAGCAGAGGTTTACTTCTCAGTAAGTTTTGGGATCAGCTGTGGAGGTAGTATAGATATACCGCAGGTCAGTTGCAAATCAGATAATTTAACAGATAATTAACCAGATAATTCAACCACCCCTCCACTCCCCCCAAAAACTCCAAACCAACCCTAAGAGGTTCAATTGTAAAATATATAGATCATTTTGTAATTAACTTCTTTTTTTTTTTCCCCAGAAAACAGAACATACATCAAACCTACTATTATGTACTGAAGGAAACTCCTATTGTTGAAAAATGTATAATGATCACTATCTGAAGACTATATAGTTCATGAAAAATGTCCCTACCAACCTTTGATGCCTTCAGTGCTGTATGAAGAAAAGGATTTGTAGCATGAAACTTGAAGGACAATTTCAAGCAATTTACTGTTGCTGCATCGAAAACTGCCGTATTGTCATTAAGAAATATTGAGACTTTTTACAAGCTTACCATACCAAACCAAGCCTGTTGCAACAGATCATTTTTAGGTCCCAGAAGATAGAAAGAAGTTTTAGTATTTTTAAGCACATACAGGAATTATTCCCCAAAAAAGAACTAATTTTTTTTAAGGAGGTAGCGATTACTGTATAGCAATGGCACAACAATTTTAAGCCACAAAGGTCCTCACTGGCTGTACATCATACAAGTCCAGTTTATCACTGAAACTGTCCAACATGGAGCTGTTTCAATTGTGTTTATAAATTAAGCTTTGTTTACTAAGCTGATACTCCATATATATTACGTTTTGAAGAGAAATGTGTGTACATTTTTTAAAACAATGATGTAAAAATTGTCCTTTCATTAGATGACCAATTAAAGAGTGTGAGCTAAACCCTAATAGCTGATGTAATATGAGGATTATAATTGATGCTTTTTTATGCTCAGTTCAGCTTGGCTTTTGGTCTTTTAAGATGAAAAAATGAATATGCAGTAGTGTTAGAAAATGAAAACTTTTAAGTATGGTTTCTCTGTTGTACCATATTAAGTTAAAGTACACATTCTTTGTTAAAATGTTCTTGCTAAGAATACAGTATTAAAAACTTTTTGTTTGACTTTGGAAATCTTTTAGATTTTTTTGGATATGGATACTCACAGTTACTAGGTTAATGAAAAATGATATTTTATACTATTAAATATTTTTTAAAAATTAATAACGGGGGGCACACAAAATTCTCACTCACACACAGAATTTTCCCCACAAACCTGGAAAATTGCTAAAGTCATTTCTCTATATAAACAGGTAATTAAGCAATGCATTGATCACGTGGAATGAATCAGTTGATTGTTCAGTTTCCACTCTTTAAGTCTAGATGTATTATTTTGTTGTTAGAGAAACACGAACTTTAGAAGACTTTAAAAAGTGATGAGATAAATATTAGGCATGGCTTCTTGATTATGCTGTGCACTGTCAGAGGTCTCACGTTCCCTTCCTAGTCTGGTCTTTGCTTCCCCATATTGAAAGCACTGTGGAGCCAGGATTCTGCTCAGCCCTTTGCTCGTAAGAGAAATTATCTTGCTGTTAGTACTTTAACAGAAAACCCTTGCGCTGTTTTTGAAAGAGTGTTGATGGATGTTCAATGGGATTCCGTTGAAGACATTGGCCTCACTTCTCAGCTAGTAGGAAGCAGAAAAGCTTCATAGTTTCTGTGGAATCTAATGTAACTAATCTGATTTTTGCCAGTTGAGTATTTGGGTTTATGGCTCTAATTCACGACTGGTATGGCAGATCCAGTTCCACCAAGTTAACACTAGTGATGAATTTGGTCACTAACCAAAAGAAAGGAAGATACTTGCTTTCACAGGTCCTTGTTAAAGACTGCTATCATGAGCAATCTCTTATTATAGACATCAAAAATTGTCATTACCCACAGAACATGGAAGGAAAAGACCCCCAAAAAGTAAATAAAAGTTTTGTTTCACAATCACCAGGAACAGAGAGTAAAATAAAAACAAAATAGACAGCAATTGAAATTTCTCACACAGCCTGGCTGATTAAAGAGCAAACACGTTGCCTTACATAAATTCAATGGCGTTACTCTTTTAGTCTCTTTTTCTCGAACACCCCCACCACTCCTAATACATGCTGGCTTCTAACGTGGAGGAAGTACGAAGGATATGACCCAAACAGAGGGAGCCTTGAAGAAAGAGGAGGTTCTTTCTCCTTAGTACATACATGATGATATAATTTCCAACATGGGTTCAAAATACAAAGAGGAGATTTCCTAATAGAATAAGTCAGTGGTGCTGCATGTGAGGACTAAATATACATATATACAAATATACATATAACATGTTAAAATTAACTAGTTAAAAGCACATAAAAGTGAAATTAAAGTCTCTTCAGTTGACTTTAAATATAGATATTTTATTAAAGTAACATTTGTTCTTTGTATCCAAAGATGATCCGAGGGCTTTCAGAGGTGCTAACTCTATGAAAAGGAGCAGCCGCTTGGGTACCCTGACATTTCATTACACTTCAGTGCAGGATCTGAAACACCTTGTGGATAACTCTTGGCAAATGTTGGCTTTTTATTAGCAATCACTGTATTGATTCTCATGTACCCTTATATGCCTAGTAATTACGTGGTTCTCTCAATGTGCCTGTTAATAATGGTGACAAATTTAAATGGGCAATGTTAATGTTTCAGCTGTATGTTCTAGAAATATAAGTGTTTGAACGCAGTTGTTTATTTTCTCTAGGATATTTTTTCTCTAATACAATGCTTGGGTAATAGACATTTGCTGATTTTGAAAATGCACCTTCATATGCAGAAAAAAATTACGGGACTTTTTGAAAAGTTACAATTTGGTTTTAACAAGAATTAATTCAAGGAAGCCTAATAGCTTGTGCCTATGTTGTTATGCAGGCAACTGAAACGGATAAGCACAATAGTGCTGTCTGGCTTTCTATCTTTGAATATTTTCCTTTTTACAGTATTGCTTAGTTTTTTTTTCTCAGTGCTGACGCACAACAAAGTTGGAGCATTTTAATTCCAACATCTGTAAGAAACATCTTTCTATATGATTAAAAAAGCAAAAGTACATTAAACTACATCAGAAGCAGGGTACATGAAGTTGGACTAACCACTCTACCCATAATAAAAAATAATCGTGCCTGTGACTTAAGCGCTGCAACATATGAACTCTAACTCTATACCTGGTTATTGAGAATTGACGCTACACATGATTCAGAAAATAATTATCCCAGTATTTATGCCATACTACTGAAATAGATACTATCCATATGTGAGAGTCTATAGAATTCTAAAAAATATGCTCATCTAGGATCAAATTGCTATGCCAGAATCAAATTCAGATTCATTCCTAAAATTGTGCAGCCTAAAATGCCTTTCAGGCCTAATTTGTTTAGGACTACGATCCAGACTCTTGTTTCTGGAAAAAAATGAAAGAGTTTAAAAACTGTTGAATGTTATAGTGAGTTACTATTAATTAGAACAGTTTGAATATATTTTAAACCATCCAGGAAATACTTAGCTACCATTGATACAAGTAACACTTAAAATAATAATTTTTTTAAAAGACCAGAAGAAAACAAAGGAAAACTATTTACTAGTAGTTGGGTTTGATATAGTCCCCTCTTTCTTCTGCAACAGAAATAGTTGGGGAAGTTGATTAATAGGACAAGCAGTATCCAAAATAAAGAGGCCTAATGTCCTGCTTGCTTTGATTTTAGTACAAATGGAGGCCATCAAATTGCATGCAAACTGTGGAATCAGAGTCCATAGTCCTCACAAACAGCAATGCCTCTGGAGGGCTGATTCTGCTTCTTATCCTCCAAGACAGGAAAAGAACTGAGGAATTTCAGAGATAAAAGGCAAGACTTGTAAGTAAACTCCCAGGAAAAGGGACCGGCTTTTGAGTGGCACCTTCATTACAGAATGAAGTAGTAATGGGTTTGCGAACTGGCATATGATTACCTGAGGTAGCTGTTAAAATAACTGAATTGAAACCCTTTTTGGAAAGTTATAAAGCATCTTGATTTTTTACTAACAAACAGAAACCTCTTCAAATGACCTATGTAATAAGTATGCTCTGCTTAGAAATAGAAAGCAATAGGACTAAGCCAATGTTATCACAGTGGGCATTTATACATGTACATTTTTGTGCCAGGATGCAATGGAGATCCGGTGCATTGGAGCAGACTCGATTAATCGGAGCTGATGTGCACTGCGCTGCATCACATGCAGTTGTACAAGTGGCAAAATTCATGTCAGCATGCAAAAAATGGCAGTGGTACACTTTTGAACTAAAACACTTCCATGTGTTTTACTTCAAAAGTGCTCTGCCACCATTTTCTCAGTGCTGATGCACATTTCACTGCGTATACAACTGCATGCACCACAGCACCGGGTGCTTTTAGAAGTGCCTGGCGCTGTGGTGCAAACATGCATATAAATGCCCAGTGTTCCTGCTACTGCTGAGGAAATCTGCAATTCCTGAAGAGAAATCCTTCTCATGGAAGCATCTCTACCGAATTTCCCTGTTCCCATTTTAGAAGGGAAGTTTGACCCAGGAGATTACAGGAGTCTAAACATGGTTCGCCTGTAGGTACATGACTTTCAAGAACCCTGGATGGCAAGAACAACACGAACTGAGCAGTATCAGCACTACCTTTCTGAATTTCCTTCTCATCCTCAGGACAAGGCAGCAGAAGGAAAATAATATCTCCATTCCCACTGAGCATGTGTTCACAAAGGTAAATGTTCCATGGGAGGATCAGGTCTAAAATAGGGTTCTAATATCTCTGCTTTCTGGTATCTCCCCTGCTAAGGGTTCCCCCAGTTGGATCCCAAAGAGGTAGATGGTACCAAATAATTTGTATCATGCTCCTATTCTCACATTCCAATGTTCAGTGTAATGCTCAAAACCATCTATAATGATCTTCTAACCGGCCACCAGATTTACCCTTCTGGTTCAGGCATAAATGTCCAAGTGACTTTAATTGTTGACACAAATGGTTACAGGTAAATGTAAAAAGGTAAAAACTTCTACCCTGAGCTATTACTGTCTTTAATTCATGAGTATAAAAATATGTGCCAGCTTAGAAATCCCTTCCCAAATGAAATTATGTGCGGAACTGCAAAAACCTTCAGTGAGGAGTGCTCAGAAGCCCATGATCCCCTATAATAAAGGTGTCTGCCAACGTAGTCATTGTGTATTCTTACAAGGGTATTTTTGTGTTATTATTTGACAGCGTTAATACAACACTAACAACCTTGACAGTGGGCGCATTTACATGTGAATATTAATGCAACACAATAAACTCCAATGCAGTTTGCCCCAAAATTTATTGCCCCTGAGCACAGTGTTTACATGTGCACCCAGCACTACAGCACATTGAGCCAGGTTGGAGCAGTCCTGGCTGGCAAGGGAAGGGGAGTCAGCCTGCCAGCCTGGGGCTGCTTCTGCTCAGCTCAACATACTGCGGAGCTTGTGACCGGGACTGACTGGGGCACGAGCGTGCTAGAGCACAGGGGTAGCCAGCAGGCAGCTCTGCACTGTAGCACTCTCGTGCCCCAGCCAGCCCCAGTCACAATTTAAATGTGCCTTGCAGCAGAGTAAATAACTCCACTGTAGAATAGTATTTGTGTTGGACAGTACTAGCCTATGGTAGAGCTAATTTGTTTACTCCAGCCTAATAGTGCCACTCGTGTAGACCAGTGACACTTTACTGCAGAGCAAATTAGGCAACTTTGCAGTAAACGTCTCATGTTGGATGCATCCAATTTTCTTTGAGCACATTTAAATTGCAACGGCAGGATGGCATAACCCTGAGCACAAGGATACCCACCTGCTCCTGCTTGTAGGCCCCAAAACTCTTAAGATATACTAGCAAAGATACTGGGTTATCCTCAGTGGCCAGTCTCAAGGATGCTGAACATTTCAGTTTATGCTTTTACTGGAAGCTATTTATGTTGATCTTGTTGCTAGAAAGGAAAAGAAACACCTTCATATCTAGCTTCTGGGAATATTTCATCAGTCATTAGAGGGGCTAAACATTGGCATTACTAGCTCTATTATCTCTTAAACCTTAGC